ACCACTACACAAATATCAACAATAACAATGCCCCCAGGCCATCACAAGTCATCACAAATCATTCCCCGACATAGCCTATCTTGTTTCGCCGCGTGCGCAATAATAAGGTAAATGCCCGCCTTGTCTCGCCGCACGCGCATAATAATATTCCCACCTTGTCTCGCCACATGCGCAAACCCACATATATAGCCCGTCTTGTTATGCCGCATGTGCAAATATCAATAATAACAACAGCACAGACAACTCACGTGCGAACACCCTGGCAATCCTCTCAACAATACCACGTTTGCCAAAAACATAAGAACACAATAAAATGACTTTCACAACATGTGCCTATATGCCAGAACATTTCCTCAAAACAGTTTTAATACCACAGCCACGCATAGCCCTCGCCTCAACAACACTGAGTACAATAACAACAACGATAACACAAGAGTACAGCAAGTAAATCAACACAAGAACTTCAGAACACAAAAAAATGGAAGAATGAGCTCACACAGAAAGACACAATAGGGAATAATGGTCTAAACAAGAATAGCACAACAGGGAGAGATAATTTGTAACAATGATTCCACATGAGTGTAATTCGACGATAAGAGAGATAGCATGAATCAATGACCCCAAGTAAGAATATGTCAATAATGAAAAGGATAAGAAAACATTAATTAAGGCTAAGGAATTACGGAAGAAATAATAATAACTCCAATTAAGGTTAAACAATTACTGAAGAAATAATAATAACTTCAATTAATGTTAAGCAACTACGGGAAAGACAACAAGGCAATAAAGAGGCAACAACTTCAATTAAGGCACATAAGAGTTTAATTGGCAACAAGGGTAGAACATGAATCAATCAATTCTAAATAAGACACGTAAGGGTAAATTTAGTAAATAGAGGAGTTAACATGCTAAAACAACTTCACATCTAATGAACACAAGAACTTAAGAGCCCTAAATGGTCAAATTTTCATAAATAAGTTCGAGTACGTACTCGTCACCTCGCGTACACGACTTTTACATGACACAATTAGCACAAATGACTCAAATACTAAGGGGTAGTTTCCTCCCCCCTCCCCACAAAGTTAGGCAAGATACTTATCTCAAAGAAGCTAGACTGTTACTCTAAAATGACCTTCTCGAGTGAAAAAACTTCGGGACGGCTCAAATCTAGCCAAAATAACTTCAAATCATAAATAAAACTCATAGGAAACGATTCCGGATAATAAAGCTTCAATCTTTAACAAAAACTAAGAAGTCAACCCCGGGCTCGCACCTCGGAACCCGACAAAATTTACAAAATCCGTACACCCATTCCGATACGAGTTCAACCATACCAATATTATCAATTTCCGACATCGAATCGCCCTTCAAATCCTCATTTTATATTTTGAAAGATATTTACAAAATTTCTCATTTTTTTTCCATTCAATTCACTAATTTAATGATATAAATAAGTATGAAATCATGAAATGTAATCAATTTCAGATATGAAACACTTATCCCAATCGAACACGTGAAGAACCCCTCAAAATCGCTCAAATCTGAAGTCTACAACTCAAAATATGATAAAAATGGTGAAACCCCCGTTTTTAGAAACCTCTCCAGGCAAGTCGCATTTGACACTTAATATTTATAAATTGCATTTGAAACCTGAAACTTATAAATCGCATTTAACAACTGCGATTTGCCTCTGTTCCCATAAATACCAGAAAAATAGAGTCTTTCCCAACACGAAAATGGGCATAACTCTCTCATACGACCTCGGAATGCAACGATTCTTGTTGCTATGGTTCTGTAATTACGATACGGATCTGATAGTTCAATCGAATCACAAATCAAAGGTCATTTGCATAATGTGGTATCCTTTATACCAAAAGAAATGACGCCGAAATATCAAATAAGAGCGCGGCACAATCCAAACCTATCTGAAACTCACCGAGCCCCATGGGACTCCAACCAAGTATACTAACAAGTCCCAAAATATGATACGAACTTGCTCGAAGCCTCAAATTTCCACTAACAATATTAGAATCACGAATCGCGCATCGATTCAAGCCTAAGAAACTTATGAACTTTCGAATTCCAAAACTAATATCGATTCATACCAAACCAACTCCGATAGATTTTAAATTTTACACACAAGTCATAAATGATAGTACATACATATTCTAACTTCCGGAACTGGGATCCGACCCCGACATCAATAGAGTCAACTCCCGATCTAACTTTCCAAAATCTTCCAATTTTTCCAACTTTTGCCAATTCATTCCAAAACGACCTACGGATCTCCAAATTAACATCCGGACACGCTCCTAAGACCAAAATCACCATACGGAGCTATTGGAACCATGAAAATGTCATTTCGGAGTCGCCTATATAAAAGTCAAACTCCGGTCAACTCTTACCGCTTTAGCTTCTAAAATAAGAATCCTTCTTCCAAATCAATCCTGAATCATCCGAAATCCGAACTCAACCACGCACGCATATCATAATACATAATACGAAGCTGCTCGAGACCTTAATCCACCGAACGGGATGTTAATCCTCAAAATGTCCGGTCGGGTTGTTACAGAAACTTTGAAAAGAATAAATAACATTTGAAACAATTATTATCAGGAAATCAATACATCAACGATTTCCGAAAAACAAAAGTAAGGTAAATAGTGGTTACATCCAATGTAATAATGTTCTAGGACAAAATATTACAAAAAATAAAAAAATAAAAAAATAAAGAACAGGAAAAAAAAAAGATTCCAAATGGATTGACCTGATACTAAAAGGAATGAAAAATTTAGTTGAGAACAGAAGGACTATTTGAAGGGGACTGACTCTTGGGTGCCATATTTACTAAAATGAAGATTATGGTCTTAAAAGTTATAATTATGATAGGTACTAGTGAGGGTGGTAAATATTGAGGAATTGCAAAAATAAGTAACGTATCAAATGATCTCTTTCCTTTTCCTTATTTCATTTATGATAGAAATTATTGGGGCTATCAATAAGGCTATAACTCATATTGAGTAATTAAATAATTATATTAAAATAAGGTGGAAAACCAAAAAATAAAAAAGATAAATGTGAATGAAAGCCAAAGAGATGTGTCACGTCTGCTTTTTCATTCCCTATTTTATATATATAGAGATTGTGTAATATTTAAAATTATTAACTAATTGATATAGAATACAAGTGAGAACTAGTTTTAAGGAAGTTTGCACCATATCTACAAGCAGGTGAACATTTGTCATGAGAAACTTTGCACCATATAACCTATTTGACCAAGCTTTTGGGAAGCCAAAAATATTTTTTTTCCCCAAAAAGTACTTTTTTAAAAATTTAAGCTGTTAGGCCAAGATGAAGAAGTACTTTTGGCCAGCAGCAGAAGTAGTTTTTCTACTTTTGGGAATAAACAGAAAATTCTAACTTCTTCCAAAAAACAGAAGTAGAAAATTAATTTATTCAATACAAAATGATCCTTACTAAAAATTTATATTATTTAAATTATCCCTACTGATTTGAGTTCTTTTTCCCTTTTTGTTTCTAGTTTTTACTATTCTTTTAAATTTAAAGATATCATATACATGAATCATAATGTAACTTTTCAAATTCTTTATTGCCTTTTCTTGTTTTTGATTTTTCTTTGTGTAATGTCTTGTAACTTTCCAAATTATCTTCTTCTTTTTCCACACTAAAGCAAATTATCTACACCTTCTTTAGATTATCAATTCTCTTCTTACAAATAATCATTTATAATTTCTTCTCTTATAAACTATTAACTCCCGAATCTTTAAAACAGTTATCAAATCTAATTTGTGAAAAGTTACCTACAAATAGGTAATAAGTTTATAATTGCATCGCATAATCTATCTATATATTAATAAAAGAAGAAGAAAAAGCCTCCACATTAAGTCAAGTGGTAGCCTTACAGTAGGCCACTTGCCAATTTAGGACAAAATTAATTAGGTTTCATAATAATTAAATTTTTTTTGAATTTAAATTTTAAAAATAAATAAATTATGCATTATGTATTGTTAATAAGTAGTTATTCTTTTTTAATTTAAATTTAAAAATAATTAACTATTCTTTTTATGAAAATAATAATTTTTATATATTTAAAATTATTTCGATTTTGCGCTTAATGCCATCTTTCAAGTTTGACACTCACAATCATCTTGGTACAACTACCATAGCTATATCCGACGACATCCTTCTGCCAATAAGGAATTCAACTATTATGCTAATGAAGACATTACTGGAGAGGTTGAGGAAGAAGATGGGCCTTCTGGTATTCTTTTAGAAATATAAGGCAAGCCTTCTACTAATATGGAGGCGTTGTGTGATAGAAGAGATGAAATTATTGAGAAATGTTATCATGTGTGAGTGACTTTGCTTATTATTTCATGGTGTATTATTAATATATAGTAATTTATGGAATAAACTTTTAATTCATACTAAATGAGGTATTTTGATTACTCAAATTATCATGTAAATAATAAGTAATTATACTAGATAATATTATATGCTTCGTATAACCATATATGCTATTGATTTAAATTTTTACTATGTATGTTTACTTTATGTTTTATATTTTAATTAAAAATAATAATAAAAGTCTCTTACGATAAATATTCATTTTTCTCTTTAAAATAATTATAAGACCTTCGTACTATCCTTTTTGATAATTTGACACTCAAAAACACTTTTTAGAAAAATCGGTCAAACACAATTTATTTATCCAATATTGCAAAAAGTACTTCTCAAGTGAATTGACCAAGCACAAACTATTTTTTGCAATAGTACTTTTGGATAAAAATACTTTTAAAAATAAGTAATTTTTGGGCCAAACGAGCTCTAAACACGAATGAAGAAAAGCAAAAAGATAATATGGAAATTGGAGTATTGGCTTCGCATTTGTAATTCTCAAGAGCAAAATGTTAAAATATCTGGGAAGTCGTATCCACAGTTACTCATTTTTGCAATTAATTTTGAAGATAAATCAATGATTTCTAATTCAAAACATAATTTTCGAGTTCAACTTGAAATAATTTTTTCAAAACTTTCAAATACACTTTTTCAACATGATAAATATTAGGCAAAACCAAATCTTCCAAAATATTGCTGACTACTATTTTGCTAAAAATTTATATCCAGATCTTATGAAGCCCAGCTCATAAAATTTGTGTAGTACCTTGTTCCTTCTTTTTATCTTTTAAATTAAACAATAATAAATAAAAGAAAAAAAAAGGAAAAAAAAAAAGAGATTTACATTTTCTACAAGTTATATTTTGCCGGTAACGTCTCGGGTCTCCATAGAAAATCGGGTGACCCGAAAGTAAGATCCGAGTGATCAAACAATTCATCTAACGCTACGTATTCACAAACATTATTAGCATTATTATAGTCCACCAAATCAGCGATTCCCAACTCGAACGAGTCGTAATTTGGAAATCGCTCTTCCAGTTGCCATAACTCATTACTGATCAAATCAATCTCCGACGCCGCCGGTGGAGGAAGGCCGAGCTCGTCGTCGGAAGCTTCCAGAAGATACCCAAACTCCGGCTGAGACTCATCGGAGTCCGCCGTCAAATCCACAACTTCCGTCACCGTTGCCGCTGCCGGCGGTGCCGGCGAAGCTGTCATTTCTTCTTCGAAACTCTTCATGAATGAGTCGAAATCCTGAGTTGCGGTGCAAAACTCGGAGTCGTCGAGATCGTCTAAGAGATCCTCTCTGAGTCTCTTTACCTCCGGTGAGTTAAATTCGGACGCGTCCGAGTCAACTCGGACTCGCTTCTTTCTAATCCGCTGCTCCATATAAATTTTTGAAAAGAGATTATAGAATGCGTGTAATACACGTGCTTAAGCTTTTCAAAGCGGGGTGAGGAGAGAGGGAAGAGAAGGGGGAAGGTTTATATAGTGGAGACAAGGAGGAGAGAGAAAGTCAAGAAGTGAGTGTGAGAGAGAGAGTAATAGTATGACGTTGGCGCGTGGGTGGGAATAATTGTGAGGCAATTATGGTCTTTTTTGGATTTTCGTTTTCTTTTTAATTTTAAATTTAAATATTGAAATGTTATGTTTAAACGTGTTCATACTGTGTTTTTGAAGATTTTCTAAAGTGGTGGATTTGATTGAGAATATAATATTCCGTGATTAGTTGGTTTTGATTTCAGNGACATGATACGAATAGGATCACAAGATTTAAAGAGTATTTTAAATATATTATTGTACCATGTTAGTTTAAGATCAGTAGATTCATTAGTTTTTTTTTACATCGTTAAATTTAATGTCCAGTCAAATTAAAACATATAAAAGAAAACAATTTTTTTATTATTGTTAATGTTATTATTATTGTTACTGATATTTTTGCAACGTGCTTAAATAGTGTCATGGATAATGGAAATTCACACGGCTGACCTTAAACTTGTTTGGATTGAAGCACCGGTGTTGTTATTTGGATGGGGACACACATATTCTCTTTCGAGCAATTCCATTCATGTTTTTGGTTGCATATATTACTCAAGAAGTTTCCTCTTTGAATTATTTTCCTTTATTTGGTTTGCATTTCCCTTGAAGACATAGATTAGAATTTAATGTATCTCACCACCAAGAAAAATTAGGGAGTCATTTAAGTTTTGGGCCCATGGCCATCAAGTTCAACAGCAAAGATGCACTCTCTCTTAACACTCTAAATTATAAATCATCTTTGATATGAGTGTAAACTGGATTTGATGTTATTTGGTAAAAATACATGAAAAATTTAATGACCAGGGTAGGTCTGTCGGTAACTATGTATTAAAGTGAAAGTTCACATTTGAAGTTTCAGTCAATTATTTTACCAACTCTCCTTTGGTAAAACCTAACAACCATCACCATTTTTGGTTAGGGGTGGATGTAGCTTTAGCTACGGTTTCATCTGAACCCATAATTTTCGGCATAATATAGATATATAAAAATTTGTTAAAATCCCAATAAATATTATATCTATAATTTTAATAGTATAATGGTTTATAATGTTGAAAACCATAAAAATTGAATCCATCAAATTTAAATCATGGATCCGCCTCTGTTTTTTGTAATCTCAAGCTCAATTTGTTACCTCTTATTTTAGATTTTTTAGGTAGTTTGATAATTACTGGTAGAGTCAGATATTCTAATAAAAAATAACAACAATAATATACTCAGCATAATCCCACTTAATGAGGTCTGGTAAGGATAATGTTTACGCAGACCTTACCTCTATCTTGTGGAGATATTCTAATAAAAAAATTCAAAGAAATGCAAGAATGCCAACTTGGAATTTACACTTACAACTATTTATCCGTAAAACGGTATAGTTGAATTTGTTACGTGGTTTATAGACAAACGAACTGATTTGATACAAAAAATAATAAATAAATTAAATAAAAATATAAAACTTAGCGCTGAAATCGAGATAAATGGTAGATAGCCTGGTTCCGGGACCAAGGCTTCCGAAGGCAACCATAAGAATAATGTTAGACAGAAAATAAAATATTATTTACCTTGGGAATAATGTATAGCATAAGTTTGTGAGAATTTCAACCATAAGAATAATGTTAGACAGAAAATAAAATATTATTTACCTTGGGAATAATGTATAGCATAAGTTTGTGAGAATTTCAACCATAAGAATAATGTTAGACAGAAAATAAAATATTATTTACCTTGGGAATAATGTATAGCATAAGTTTGTGAGAATTTCAACCATAAGAATAATGTTAGACAGAAAATAAAATATTATTTACCTTGGGAATAATGTATAGCATAAGTTTGTGAGAAATTTTCCGTTTCCTATAATGGTTATTGAAGTCACTATTTATAACTATACCTAGGGAACTAGGTCTTAGGATCAAGCCCCTCTTAAATGACAATAACGGGGGTCATTGATGAATATGTAACGGCAGACCATTAATGCCAAAATTCTCCGCAACGGCTGCTTATTTAATACTGAAGAATATTCTTCATTAAATGTCACCTGGTGACAATTACTCGTTTGCATCCGTTGATTCTATTCCCTTCGGGATCTACCCATTGCCAACTAAAGTTGTTGTCCTCGGTCTTGGTATTCACTCGCTTCATCTTCCATCTGCCTACGGTTCTATGTGTCACGCTATCATTCAGGCATTTAATATAAACCAGACCCTATACAGATAGTCCCCCTACTTTCCGATGGCACATCTTTGTGTCACCGAGAAGTTGGTGAAGATTCCTTTCTTGGCGGAAAAATTTTCTGAACCCTTCTGAAATGTTTCTGACACTTGATAAGACGTACTTCTCCTCGTATTTAATACCCCAAACACGTGTTACTCCATGATTTAGCAAATTTTTTGTCGGTTCTCGAGGTAATCATGGTCACGATTTTAGCCGCCTATATCTTTACTTATACGCCTCATTCTTCTTCTTTCATTTCTAACAGTTTCATAAACTCTTCTCAACTTCTTTGCATTAAACTCCCTTCTGCTTTCATCTCTCATTGTTCTTTTTAAAAAAAACTCTATTATCTCCACCTCATTATGGCTTTTTATACTGATTCTTCCAAGAACTCTGGTCTTTTTTTCGGTGGGGGCCAGAAGAGGAGCAAAGACAAAGAGGTCAATATTGATGTTGATCCTCTTACGGTGAGCACCATCATCCCCAAACATCTCAACACAGCAAAGGACTTCGAAGAGAAGCTCCCCACTTCAAACCCTTACAATTGGGCTGTTGGTAAATATCCTTCTTCTATTCGCCCTTTCAGTATTTCTGTTGTGAAGGAGTACTGTGACTGCCACACCCTAAACATCATTGCTCCCGATCTGGTGGAGCAAGTAACCTTCACTAAGAAGGGCTTTATGTACGTTTATACATACCCCTTCACTTTGGGTCCATTTTCTTTGAGCGGGGGACTTAACCCCGTGATTTTGGAATTGTGCCACCGGTACCAGGTCTGTTTGGCTCAGGTAGGCCCCTCTATGTGGCGAACGGTAGCTTGCCTGGCGCGGCTGTGCTTGGAAATGAAGGAGCCTTTCACCTTGGCTTATATGATGAACCTCTACTCTCCCAAAATCTTCTGTGGGGGAGTAATAAATTTCAGCAAGCATGGCCACCATGCTTTGCTTACCAGCATGGATGACGACAATGACCATGGATGGATGAAGCGGCTTGTCATCATTGCTACTAGGGATATCATCCCGACCACAACTCCATCTTTCCCCGAATCTTGGAATTGTTCACGTAAGTTTAAAGTTTATTTCTTTCTCAGAAAATATGATGTTTCATGTCATTGCTAACCCATCTTCTTTCATTATTTTTAGCAACTCGGTGGACACCGCCAAGGGTTGAAGGCCTTGACTGGTGGGTTCATAAGATTCTGGACATCACCACACCAGAGACCTGCAAGTGGAAGGAGTTGGCCCCCAAATATAGGTGGAGGGCCAAGAACCACGGTAAACTGATTCTGCCTTCATTCTATCTTTGTACATAAGAAGATTAGCTAACCCTACCTTTTTGTTGGATTTAGGTCTCCCGCAAGGTTCTGTTTCCATTCCTAAGGAGGATGTTTTGGTCGATTCCGCAGAGGTTACGAGATTGTTGATGGAGGATCTCACCCGGACAGGTGCCCTCGGGTTTGCTTCCGGTGCAAGTGCATCTTCTCGGAGTCCCCAGCCAGAGAACAGCAACCAAAAAGGCGATGTTCTTCCTCGATCGAGGGTAAAAATAATAAAGTGAAGAAAGCAACACCCAAGCCGGCCACAGTCACTGCGGTTATTGAAGTTGATAGGGAAGCCAGTGATGAAGGGGCTTCCCTACAAAGGAGACAATGATCTTCATCAACTCAACAGAATGCTCAATTTGGAGAGTTTAGAACCCTAACTGAGGGCGAGCTCTTTGAAGAAATGGATTTGGTGGAGAATGATGATTCTCTCTTTCCGGTCCCAATTGCTGCTTCCGGCTCTATGAGCCCGGATACTGGGTCTCTTCTGCCTTCGGTTGATGAGCAACCAACAAACAGCACTGCCCCCGCCGCAACTATTTCTTGACCTTCAACACCATCAACTTCATCTCCCTCCATGCCGGCCATACCTTCATCACCAACAACTGCTACATCTCCCCCACCGGCCGCAGACGACCGAGAAAAGGTTGTCCTTACTCCCCAGTCCTTGACCACGGGAATTTGGGGCACAACTATTCGCCCCCTTTCGTAGATCCCAGGGGAGGAGGAGTGTCTCTCTCTTGGTGTCTAGTGAGTGCCATATGTTGTCAAGGTTGGTGGAACTTGCCAATTATCTGAAGCTGCTGGCTTCAGAGAAAGATAAGAAGAAAATACACTCTCTTTCGGGGGAGTGCATGATAAATAACGTCATGCACAATGCAGCCGCGATATTGTACTTGTTCTTTTTACTGCTTGGTTCTTCTTGACTTGTTATGACAGGGTTTTTATCTTTGGTATTTGCTTCGCATGCCAACTTCCTTGCTTCCGAGGGACTTCAGAAATTGATCCTCAACAAAGAGGGACTTAAGTCTAAGCGGGATCAACTGTTGGCCAATAGGAATCAACTTGTCATGCGCCTCCCGGTATTAGAAGCGAAAGTCGCTGAGGCGAGTGATCTTGAGGCCCGGTTACAGCTTAGCGAGCAGGAGGTAGTGGCCCTTAGTCAAGAAGCTTCTCAATTAAATGCTCAATTCCAAGAAGCTAAGGCTAAGTGGTCTGAAGTTCAAGATGTCATGCTTGCTGCTGCCGATCGCGAGTCTGCCTCCATTGAACGAGTGAATAACTTGGAGGCAGCCTTGAATTCCAAAGCTGAAGAGGTTGTTGCTGTCGAGGAGAAGTATGTCCATATGAAGGATAGGTATAAGAAGATCATGGATCACAATAAGGTTCATATAACCACGATCCGTGATCTCGATCCTAGCCTTAGCGCCATGAGATCCGAGCG